AATTGAATTGAATTGAAAGACACGCTGTGGAAGAGAATCAGAGATTAATATTAACTAATGATGAAATGCAGAGTAGGGCTGCAGCTTAAACAGATTATTTTGGTAGTTGACTAATCCGCCAATTTTCTTTGATTAGTCGATTAGTCAATGATTATTTGTCTCTTATCTCTGCTTCCTGTGGGCAAACTTCCTGTTCTAGGCTCCAGTGACTCACCTGCTTAAGTCTGCCCACCTGTGATTAGCACCCTGTTGTCTCGTCCCACAGCTAATGAAAACAATGACCTAGGAAACACTCAAATGTATTTTTAACATTACATTAAAAATGAAATAAATAAAAATATTAGGTAAAACAAGTTAAAATGCTAGTATTTAAACAAAAAAATAACGTGCAAATAGGAAACAAAAAATGGCTTCTGTCCATAAGTTTAAATAAAACTTCAAATTAAATCAGAAAGATTTTGTTCCCCCGATATTGCAGTATAACAGAGAGTGGGTTCAGGGTCACCTGATCCAGACCTAACTATATGTTTTATCAAAAAAGAAAGTTTTAAGCCTAATCTTGAAAGTACAGTCTGTCTCAAATCCAAACTGGGAGCTGGTTCCACAGAGAGGGGGCCTGAAAGCTGAAGGCTCTGCCTCCCATTCTGCTTTTAAATGCTCGAGGAATGCTGCAGTCTCAGAGCGAAGTGCCTGGTTAGGGGGATATAGTAATATGAACTCTTTAAGATAAGATGGAGCCTGATTATTCGAGACCTTGTGAGGTCGCCGCTGTTCCCAGCATCTATATAACTTCATCAAACTTTAACTGTATCAGTATTGTGGAATATTGGTGCCTGATCTTGACAGTATGAACAACTGTCTCAAGTCTCACTGCCTCACTGTACCTGGACTTAACTAACATCTACTGTAACAAGCATCTGTCTGTTCTCAGCTACATCTGTCTCTACCTTAAAATCTCCTCCATCAAACATTTGTGTACCTACATCTTTATATTATTTACTTTTGGCTGTTATTGGCTCTTTAAGAGCAGGCATGGGTCCAGCTCAAGTGGCCATTAGAGGAAGTGCAGCTTTTAGCACTTTACCACATTGGCTTCAATCCGGCGATAGAGGAGCAAAAGAAAGGTTCTTCTGCTAAACTATTCTTACTGTCAAGTGTGATTCTGTTCTTCTGTGTATCTCACGTCCTAATGATACAAAATTCATGAAATCGGTACGAGCAGCTGTAACACGCTTTCAGCATACTTGCTTAACAACTTCCATCTGTCTGTGTCTGCAGCTCCAGCAGCAGCAACATCTCCCCAGACAAATCGGCCAGGGCCAGAGGAATCCATATCCCCAAGTCAATCAGTACCAAGGTGAGACACATGAGCACGTGCGTTCATGTCACCTGTGCAGCAGTGCACACACGGCATGCGCCTGCGCAAGAATGGCTGCACCCCACAGGATTTTCTCACACGTTATTATTTATTGGAAAATTAGAAAATGGATTTAGCACCCAGATGGTTGTGTGTGTCGGGGGGGGTGGCTACAATTACACATGCATGTTTTGTCAGCAACAAGTATGGTATACATGGTGGCGCTCCAAGACATTTAGGGACGTAACAGATTTTGCAGTTCATTCGGTGCCACGTTCACAGACAGATATGTATGCAAACAACAGCACTGACCAAACATCACCCTGAAACCAAGCCTCGTCCTTTCTGTCTGTCTCTGTCAGATACATCAGTTGGCGCTCAGATGCTCTCCAGCCTCTCTCTCTCTCTCTCTCCTCCTCTCTCCGGGAAAAAAAAAATACAAAATAAAAAAAATAAAAAATTCTGCTCTGCCTGTTACCACGGCAACTTGTCTGTCCTGGATCCCCCAGAGTTCCGGTGAAGTCGGAGAGATGGATGAGAGCAGGGGAAGTGGGAGAGAATGGGAGGAGGAGTGAGAGCGGGGCGGCTGGCAAGTAGAGGGAAAGGTAGATGGTTCGGTGGGTAGAAGGAGAGGTTGAACGGAGAGATGAGATGATGGAGAGACAAAGAAAACACAGAGGAAGTGAGAGAGAGAGAGAGAGGAGGAGGATGAGGAAGAGAGTCAGGCTGAAAAACCATTTATAGCCATCAGTGTCTGCAAATGAAAGAGATAATATGGAGAGGAAGAGGAAGCTCCGGTGTGAAACTCCGGCCTACAGATATACACATTAACTCAGCTGTCCTGCAGTGTGATTGTGCTCATATCACCTACAAATCTCACTCTCGATATATTTGTGATCTGTGAAGTATATAGACAGTTACCTGCAACTCTACTCACTTCCTACTTACTGGAGTGAGTGATCCTCTTCATTCTCGCTCCTCTGTTACATTTTCAGCCTGAGCTGTGAGGTGGGGGATTAGTGGAATGATGTCAGAAGTGGGTTTATTATAGGATTTAAAGCCATTTCCACGCTAGCAGACCTCCTCAGCTCAGCTGCTTCTGAGCATCTAATAGCAAAAGGTAGAGGAGTGAGATGTTGGTGCTTCAGTGTGTTTAGTTTTATTTTGGTGGGGTAGGATTTGGGCCAAATTGGATGGGAAGCATTCGTTTCCAGAGTAAAGGGGCTGTCGTGCAACATAAATCTTTGCCTCAGCAATGACTTATTAGAACCGTCTTATGGCCTTTGGGTCATTTAAGTGGCTCTACTGTGTAAGCTCTCAGATTTTCCCCTACAACTATTTCCTCATCTGTTTGCTAACTCCTCTTATTTTCCACTCCTAGGTACCCCTCAGGCTCTCCAGAACATTCGGGCTACCCGCCTCCTGCAGCAGCCGCAAACTCAGCAGCAGATGGTCCAGATGAGTTCTGTTCAGGCCCAGGGTGGTTCTGTGGGACCCCAAACTGACATGGGACTACCCTACAGTAACCAGGGATCCAACCAGGGTTCCCTGTATGGGCTCAACCCCTCCATGAGCCAAATGATCCACCAGCAGCAGCACCAGAGCCAAAGCGTCCAAGCCTCCATGGGTCTTCCGCCACAGCACAACCCCACCGGAGGGCCACCCCGGCAGGCAGGTGCGGGTCCTGGAGTCGGAGGTATGCCTGGAGGACCCGGAGGTGGTGGAGCTGGAGGTTATGGAGGGCAAGGGATGTTAATGAACTCCATGACCCAACAGCCTCTTAAAGGACCTCCTAATGCCAAAGCTCAAACACAGAGACTGCAGAGCATGCTGGGAGGAGGCGGTGGGGGAATGGCAGCAAGTGGCTGGCCGCAGCAGCAAGGACAGAGTCTGCAGGCCATGGGGGGTGGAGTTGGAAGGACTACAGGAGGAGGGGGAGGAGATATGGTGGGGTTCAGCTCTGCCCAGGGTTATGGGATGCAGCCGGGTCAACCCCCACGCATGGCTAAACAACACTTTCAGGGCCCGGGACAAGGGATGGGCCAGGGGATGGACCCCAGGTTGGGCAACCCAGCTGCGGGTATGGCTGGCCCAATGATGGGCCCTCACATGGGTGGTCAACCAAGGACCAACCAACCCCGCCCTATGGTTATGAACCAGGGAATGAACCAGGGGGTGATGGGCCAGGGAATAACTGGGATGGGGGGTTTCGTGCCAGGCCCTGGGGGGCCAGGATTAGGGGCAAGTGGAGGTGGAGGAGGTGGATCTTACGGACCAGGGGCGGTCGGGGTTGGAGGTCAGCCGCAGGGCTACCAGAGGACAGCCAATCAGGACATGTCATCCTATGGATACGGGGGCGGGCCCTCAGGCGGAGGAGCCTTCGGATTGGGCGACGGCTCGGGGGCAGAGCTGGACTCAAGTGACGGTTGGATGGAGGAGTTTTTCTCGAGCTAATAGCCAACGGGGAAAGTTGTTACTGGATGAAATAAAAACATTTAAAGTTGGACAAATTTTAAAATCTGAGAAAGTAAAACAAAAACGACAACATGACGTGGACTGGCATGTTTTTGTTTTGTAAAACATGAGCAAGATTATAAATGAGTTCCTGTGTTACGTTTTGTGCGTATGGATGTGTGCGTGTGATGGAGAGAGCTATCATTTTGTCTTGTGCATATTAATGAAAAACCAATATAGAGATTAAGAAGTGTGTTTCCTAATTTTCCCTTTTTTCTCTGTGGAATAAATTTTCTTCAGTGTTTGAAAGCGAGGCCCATTCACGCAGCAGCGCTTTGAGCCCGAGCTTCAGCAGGGGCTGATTGGAAACTGTAGACTGATGAAGGGGAAGCAAGACTTGTTCTCAAGACAGCAATTTATTTGTGTTTGTGTGTTTGTGCCACCCTGATCAGTGCTTCAGATCTCTCAACTACGCGAGGAGCTGAAGGGAGTAGAAAGCACTCTCAACGCTCCCATTCCTCCTCTTAGATTTGAGCCCCCCCCTCGTACAGACACACAAACACACACACACTCACAAATCTGATTCCCTCACGCTCCTTCACTCTGTTCCTTTCACTTGATTTCCCTCTCATCCTCCATTCCTCTCTCCTCCCGTCTTTCCCACCCTCTCTCCAGAGACTCGTTCCTCGCTCTCAACGCTCCTTTCTCTGTTTAAACTGTGCACATCACAACAGAACAAATGATGCTCCTCTATTGTGCCACGCAGGCTCGCTCTGCCCTCTAGTGCTTTTGCTAGGCAACCGACCTGAGTGGCGTTTTTATTTAATTTTTTTAAAAGGGGGGTTGTGGTTCATTTCCTGTGTTGTGTCGCTGTGGTTGCACATGTAGACAAAGACAAAGGCAGTAAAAAGCTGAGAAAAGGAGGAGAGATTAGGCAGCTAAAGCAAGCACACGTAGACAACAACAAACAGACAAACAAGCGTCAGCCCGGGAGGATGTGCAGATGTGTGAGAGGCGGCAAACAGAGCTAATATTAGGCTACACATTAAACCTTCTGTCTGCGTGACACAAACCACATCGCATGCATCAGGCAGACAGAAACGATCGCTGGGCACTGAATGTATTCAAGCACCACAAGTGACTTCTTCTTCTAAAGAGACGAGAAAAAAAGCTCATTGAAAAGCCGCCCGCAGTGTTTTATTTTGTCGCTGTGTTTTTCTTTTACGGTGAATCTGGTAGTTTGTCAATTACACACGGAAAAGAAAGTTTAAATTAGTTTTGTTTCTTAGTTCGTCATCTTTTGAAAATCTGTTTGGTAAAAAAAATCTGTGGCTCAGCTTGTCGTCACTCACCGTAGCCCCGCTTTACATCGTGGCTTCTCTCAGCTGTAAAACGCCCTCGTTTCAAACTATAACTGTGCTATACTGTAACACTACTGTGAAGAAATACAAGTCGGGCCCTTGTGGCGCTTTACAAGGAAAATGAACCACTGCTAAGCCTTGAGTTTGTTTTAAAGAGAGAGAAGCTTCAGATAGCCTTTAAGGGACAGCTCACCCCAAAGATAAAATTCTCATACTTTTCATCAGGTGTGCAGTTTTATTTGTCCTTCGTCCGGTCAGCTGCAGAGATTTCAACCTTCACTTAGGTGTAATGGAAATAAATCGCATGATCTGGTTACTCAGAAAACATCCACAAACCATGTGCTTTAACAAACTACAGCCACCAACAACATCAATGTGCAGAAGTAAGAGGGTAACTACCAATGATGAGAAGCTTGCACAATAGTAGTGATGGAGTTGAGTGTCAGTGCTAACTACACACTTCTATTGGCTGTAATTCAGTATAAAGAAAGAAAATCTGTTGGTTTTGAAGTCCTAATGTTGGCTTGTGGTCACGACTCTGAAGGTTTTTCTCACCCAAATATGACTCTATTTGTATGAGACAGTGGACTGCTAAGCTATGAGCTGACACTTGCATGCTTGGTTAGGAAACCGCATCATTAAACTGTACAGGTGCACTGCACATCCACAGGTACCTGCTAGTTAGTGCCAACTAACTTCAAAACTGAAGCATGGGTTGCTCCAAAAGACACCGAATGGTGAGAGGTCCAGTTCAGTGACCCCAATTGGCATTTCTGAGGCTTATCAGACAGCCATCATCTGTTGCTGTCAAAGTTACCATGGGATGGGTGTAACATATAACAAAACTATACCCACTGCACAGGTGATATAAAGGGGTAAGTTATCTCTAGAGATCAATGCCATATTTGTTTAGCACCAGGGTGTAAACATGTTTAATTCTGCTGTAAAGCTGGGCATTTTAACATGGGAGTCTATGGGGACTGAATCATATTTGAAGGCTGCCTCAAGTGGCCACTAGAGGAACTGCAACTTTAATTATTATTATTTTTATTATTATTTATTTTACACACGATTTATGTGATGTTTGGAGTAACCGTTTCATAATTCGTAGAGTAAAAATATTTGCAAAACGTGCTGTTTCATAGAGATGAATAAAGAAAACTGGAGGCTGAAGGAAAAACATATAAAATGAAGGCTGGGGTGATCAGTCCCTTTAAAGTGTTAGTGTCGAGATAATCAGTGCTTCCACTGAAGTTAGTGTCTCCCTTCCCTCTCGACTTCCTCTGCCCTGATGTGTGCATAATGAATATGTGTCAAAAAGGTTTTATTACTGTACTTGTTGGTAACATCTTACATCGCTAACGCTTTAAAAGATGAATGAAAGCGTGTCTGCATTACTTTGTATTTAGCTCATCAGAGTGAAAGTTTGGGGGACGATGCTGTAATCAACAAAACCAAAAAAGCCTTCTTCTCTGTAAACTAACTCCTTGTCATCATCTGTTCTCATGGTTGTTGGTGTTGTATAATCCAACCCTTTAAATACGAACTTTAACCACCACGCCCGTCGTCCTGTAAGCGCCGCTGTGTTTGGCAGCACCCGCGAATGAATTTCTGTACTTTTTTGGGGGGTTTCTGTCACCTTTGGGGAGTCCTCCATCTCACTGTATGGAGACTGAATGTCAAGGATATGTAGGGTTTTTATAGCATTCCCGAGTTTTACCAGGGGGAGCACGGTCACAAATTTAAAACCCTCTCGGTCGTTGAGCCTGCCTCGTGTAGGAAAAGCAGCGGAGCGCCCAAACCTGCGGGGGCTCCAATGCTCATGCTTCCAAATGTTTGATGCTAGTCCAGGCAGGCTCATAAATCACATGTTAGAGGCAGTTTGTGGGAAAACACCCAAGGATTACGAGTCCAACGCGGAGGCAGGAAGGTATAGAAACATGTGTGGGTCAGTGTTAAGGTCACAGCCAAAGTGAGGCTGCGTTTGAAATCCCTTCAGGAAGAGAAAGGAAGCTTCCTCCAAATATCATTATGTACCGGGACCAAGTCTGTAGACAACATTTTAACGAAAACTGTTGTTATTGATGTTCTTTGTTTTATTTTATTTTTTTTTACTGGTGCTGACATATATGTGATTATGAGAAAAAAAACTATATAAAAGATAATGGCTATTTGTAAATATGTTTTTACAGGTTTAAATACATCAGATAATACAGTCTCTACTCTGTAAAGAATTTACTGTTTGTTGGAAAATAGAGAAGTATTTTTATTTTGAAGTTTTTTGGTTTCACTTTTAACCCATCTGAGCTATGCCATTGCACTTCAGACAATGTCTTACTACTAATTTGTATTGTAAACCTCCTCTCTTTTTTGGTATTTTTTTCAGTTGTTTTTTCTAGTTTGAGATTTGACTCGGTTCTTAAGCAGTGCTTATTTCTTTTTATCCTGTACAGAATTCTGAAAATGTTAACAAAAGATAATTACAAGAGAC